AAAAGGAGAAGATATATCCTTCAGAAATGATTCTAAATGGTCTCTAAGGTTAAACTTCAGTTAATAAAACTAACGGAAATGCCGATGTGGCTTCATGAGTGAGATATTTATTCAATTTTATATCATTTTTAAAATGTGTCTTTTTTTTCGTTGCCCCCACCGTAGGGAATTCCAACCTCAAAAATTAAACTTTTTAAAGTTGTACTCTCTCCTTCCTAACAACTATAAAATCCCAGTGGTTGAAGCCCCAATTAAAGGTCTCACAAGAACTCCATAACAAAGTTTGGAATGAAACAATCTTCATTGATACTCTTTTCAAGCTTTGGGAAAATTGATTATTGTAGAATCTGGTCAGAAAACTTGCAATAATTGTGGCTCTTTTCGGGGCTCTCTCCCTTCGAACAACACTAGGTAGAGTTAAGAGTTATTCTATAGAAGTTGAGCTGGAAATATATTTGTACAATTAACCATTGTTTAGTTGAAAACTTTTGGGATTGGTCTAAAGTTGCAGGCAAATAAATTAGCCATCTAGGGTTTCTTTGAATTCGGAAGGTGATCGAATCCATCCCAACAAGGACAAGTCAAGTAATGTGGTGCTCTAAATTGGAAACATTTTGAAGAGAGGAAGAGAGATGGAAGGAGGAGGAGGGAAGAGAGAGAAAGAGAAAGGAAAAGAAAATGACACTGTGTTGAAAATAATATAAAATTGAATAAATATCTCCCTCATAAAGCCACATCAGCATTCCGTTAGTGTTATTAACGGAAGTTCAACCTCAATGACTATTTAGAACCATTTTCTAAACATCAGGGACTAAATTGTCATTTTTTGAAACTTAAKGACCAAATAAAAACTTATCTTTAAACTCAGGGACTAAAAGTATATTTTACCCTTTATTTTAAACTTGTTTTGGGATACCCAACCTGTAAAATTCATAAAAACTTGGGCGAGTTTTCTTCGAACACGCCCGAGATCTAGGGCTTCCTTTAACGCTATAATGAATACAAAATGAGGGGTAGTTGGATACATTTACTTTCATGAACTTGTCAGAAAAGGTTAGAAAAAACAATTTTTGAGGAGTGGGTTATTTGAGTAAAGTAGAAACTTTGCTAGGTCATTTGGGCCAATTTTCCCGTCTTCCCTCCGCTTGCATTTGTCCAAATTACAACATCAAAAAATAATAATTTAAATGTATAACTTGAAAATTTTAGTGTACAACATATAGTTAATTGAACACATCAGATCTATAGTATAATTATTGGATTTTCTTACTAAATCTGCGGACCAAGTGAACACAGTTCATTAAAATATATTAGAATCAGTTTCTTTTTAGTTTATACCAATCTCGACAATAAGTTTCTTTAGATTATATCAATCTCATCAATAAGTTTTTTTTTTAGGTTCATCCATCTTCCAACGATCAGTTTGAACACTACTTGATGCACGAAACCTTACTGGATGTGCAATGAACTCTTTGGATAGGCGAACTCCTATTACACAAATACTAACATCGGTTCAACTCAAAAGATGAGTTGGATATGGATTACTTTAGGTAAAACCGAAGTTTTCTACCGTCGCTAAAACCTTTAGCGACGTGTTTAGACTTTTCTCAACGTGGTTTCTGCCGTGACAATTTATTAAATTCATTAAATCATAGCCTAACACCTTATAAATATGAATGTACATGGTTATCATCTAAGAAGAACAAACCCTTCATTTTGGGTAACATGTCCGATATGTCGGACTCTCCAACACGTATCAGACACTTTTTAGCTGAGTCACACACACTAGTTGCATAAAGTGAATATGGATTCGACACTTGTTAGGCATCGAATCCTTGTTAAGCATAAGAAATAAACCTAAGTAGTAATATAGGACAAAATAATAAACTTTAAGAGTAAAATACGTCAAGCTCATTTTTTAAAACATAAAAATACATAAGCTACCTCGAATTTCCCTCCTAAAAAAATTGTATATTTTAATAAATGTATCCTTGTCGTGTCTATATCCTAGATTTTTAGAAAATATCGTGTCCCCATATCCGTGTTATATTCATGGATGCGGCATCCGTATCCATGCTTCTTAGGTTATTGTATATAAATCAAATCTATATGGATGAGGTGAGAAAAATGATATTGAGTGAACTTTGTGGTCCAGATTCACACACAAATTGCAGCATTGGTTTTAACAGAAAAGAAAGAAGAATGAAAATAAAAAAGTTTGGATATGGAAAAGGAAACATATGGAATGGAGAGGGTAGAGAGAAGGTTGGGAGCAGCATATTATTGTTGTATGGAAGTAGAAGCTAAATATAGAGATGAAAGCTTCAGAAACCTACCCCTCACCAAAAACAGAAACACTGCTTCTTCCCAATTTCATCTTCTCCAATGGATCCCCCTCCTTATAACTTCCTAACAAAACGCTTCCCCATGGTTTGTTCTTCGAGAATTTTCATTTTGCATTTAAGTTTTTGACACTTTCCCCTCAAATTTCCATCTCTGCAACACCAAATTTTTTCTCCTCTCTCTTTCTCTTGTTCTTTCTCTCATGGCAGATCATACACGTTCACACGTAACAACGGATTTGTATAAGATCCTTTCAATCCCAATCAAAGATATCTGCAAGGGATTCAAGAAATGGAATCCTTCTGAGAAGAGCCCTAGAATTAAAACTATTGAAGGAGGAGGAGACAGAGACTTTACGCCTTCCGTCAGAGAACCTGACAAGGTGCGTAAACACAGATATGCAAAATTTCTGCATAGAAACCTAATTTTAGGTATTTCTTCCATTAATCCACCTCAATTCACGCACAGATTATGCAATTATATCCAGATCAGGAATGAATCATGTATTAGATTAGAAATCATGCTCCATCATAAATTTTGCAAATCACAATCGATCAAAAACAGAAAAGTAAAACATGTATACAATCTGAGACTCACCTTTACCTCGGATGATGAACTTTTCTTCTGAAATCTTTGAATCGTCATTGTCTACGACAGTCGCGTCGCGGTGGTGAGCGGCACATAATCAGCGCTCCGACCACGCCGTTAGGTTCCAGCAACCATAAGGGCGTGGACGAGAGCTTCTTCGCGAACATGACGAATACATTCTCCAGAAACCAGAGTCGGAGAAGTAAGACGCCGACGCCAAGTCCGCGGTCGTATTCGAGAAACGCGAGCCGGCGACGGAGCAAAACGCCGACCTCATTATCGACAAATCAAAGCCGAAGGAGCAACTCAGACACCGAATTCCTAARACGACCGCTATCGAGAAATTCGAGCAGAAAAGTAGAGGCAGCAGAATCAAACGAAACGCCGATCTCGTTGTCGAGAGAAACGAGCAGAAGGCATTGTTGGGAGACCAACTCCTCCGTGGATCATGCTCGATCGTTGTCGAGAAATGCGAGCAGGAGAAGCCCTAATGCTACTCCGATCATATATTCACAGTCGACGGCACTGAAGAAGCCGCCGCCGGTAGAGAAGAAACTGGAATGTACCTTGGAAGAGTTGTTGGAAGGATGCGTGAAGAAGATTATGATCGCSAGAGCCGCCATTGTTAACGGGTTAGTTTCTCAATTCCTCTTTTTTCTTTTTTTAAAAAATTCCTCGCTTTTATAGATATGGTTTAGGTCAACTTTTGTTTTTTCTTTATTTGGTTTGACTATGCTTCAAAGGAAAAAATAATAATAATAAAAAAGAAATAATACACCCTCCATCCCAGTTTGAGAATAAGTTTCTAGCAACTTAAAAAATTGGACCAATCATTTCTAAACTGTAATCCCCAAAGCCTACCTCCAAACTATAGAACTTTTGCAATTATACTTTTTGGAATTGTTGCAACTAACATTAACCAATAAGAAAGTTGTAACAATATGATTTAATTACAATAATTTTGTACCATACGAATTGCTCAAAGTTTGAGACAACCCGATAATTCGGGATAGTCTTAATAGAGTGTAAACAAACATGTGTTTAGATGTCATCAAATAATGGTGGGTATTACTTTGATTTAATTGTTTTAAATACCATTAGAATCTTGTTTTAAAATAATAATAAGTTAAAAACTTGCTTATTTCATTTTTTGTTTTTGTTTTTGTTTTTTTTTGTTTTTCAATGTCTCTTTTATTAAAGAAAAAAAAAAAGAAAGAAAAGAGAACCAATATCTCTTAATTTTTCCTATAAAATAAAATCAATAACTTTTATTTTCTATTATTTGTTAATTTAAAATATAAACCTAATAATTTTCATGAAGTTTTCTAAGTAGAAAAATATCAAATATCATAATGTGATTTTTTATTTGGTGACATTTAATTTAAAGTTTCATTTTAATTGTGTAAAATTGGAAGCAAGAAGTTTCTTCTTCCTTTTTTCTTTTTTTAAAGTAAAAATAAAAAATAAATTTACTGAACATAACTCAATTGTTCTAGTAGGATTTTTTGTTTCTTCTTCCCTCTTTTTTTTTTTTAATTATTTTTGTGAAATAACATTGTTTGATACAAGCAAACGTCCCATTTCCCTTTGTACAAAGCATTCCTAACACTATAGATTAGACAAATTACAAAATGAAATTTCCTATGACTTATATCAACATTCATTTTGGTTGAATTTTTTTTAATTTACTTGTTTTCTTCAAAGAAGGTAAAATCAGAAACAGTTGAGGAATTTTTACTCAACTACAAACAAAGGAGATCACAAAACGAGGGCCTAATTTTTATGGACATAAAAATTGTATAAGTTATTTCCTATCCAAAAATTGTTATCTTTATTTATTTATAATTTTTTTTTTTTTTTTACCAGTTACTTCTTTGAAAATCACGAACATGTAAATAGTTTTACAATAACATTTATATTTAGCTGCTAAACAGCCCCTTAAATGAACTCAAACCAAGAGGAAGACAAATGAAGAAAGGAAAAAAAATCTTGTCCAGAGAATATGTTCAAGTTTGAAATGGTCAAATTCCACAATTTATCTAACTGACATTTATACAAAATGACATACAGGATAATTGTACAAGAAGAGGAGTTGCTGAAAATAGAAGTGAAGCCAGGATGGAAGAAAGGAACAACAATCACATTTGAAGGGAAGGGAGATGAGAAACCAGGGTTCCTACCTGCAGATATAATCTTTGTGATCGATGAGAAAAGGCATCCGTTGTTCAGTCGGGACGGTGACGACTTGGAATTAGGAATTGAGATCCCTTTGGTGAATGCACTCACTGGCTGTTCAATCACAGTTCCTCTGTTGGGAGGTGACAAAATGACTCTGTCATTTGATAACATCATATATCCAGGCTTTGAAAAGGTTATAAAGGGACAAGGAATGCCGACCCCGAAGCAGCAAGGGAGGAGAGRCGACCTTCGAATTCAATTCCTCGTTGAGTTTCCCTCTGAGTTGAGTGAGGAACAGAGGGCTGAAGCTGTTAGCATCTTGCAAGATTGTTCTTGATCCTCTCCCTTTGGAGCAAGCCGATCTGCATTCGTGCATTGAGATGAGGGTTRGAGAAGAATCTGCAGTTAATCAGCTCTTCGAATGCATTTTGAAACATGAATTAATCAGCAACCTTGATTTGATCATCCCGTGGTCAAAAAATTCACACAATAGCACCACAAAACACACTGAATGAATGATGCATATGGAGTTGCAATAGAGATGGAATATAATGAAAATGGCACTTCCAAGCTCTTTGAAGGATATTACTGCCACTGCCAGCCACTGTGAAGTTCCTCAGAATGAACTCATCATACTGGCTGTGCAGAGAGCAAGAAACTGAAATTGACAAAATTGAATGCAAGAATATCCTTGTGGGCTACCTCAAATGTGCAAAAAGGTGATTATAATTCGATTTTTTGTGTACCTAACCTACCTGTGCTGCTGTGCAAAGTTATTCAGGCATGTCAGATCTTTTGAAACGTATTAGAGAGTAGTTTTCAGAATACAATATTTATAATAACTGACGAACGCAGAGGAGTGTCTTTGCTTCCAATATTGATAGGTATGAAGAGGGCTAAAAAATCCGACTTGACAAAGAAAATGTTCTATTTACAGARCTTTGTCAGATATATGTGAATCAAGTCAAAACATTGATAGAGTTCGCTTCTTATGAGGAAAAGGAGATTCAGAGGTCCCCACCCATATTCTCCCAACTCTTAGGTCACTTACCAAAAGTCTACCCGTCCTGTTCAAACAGGATCCTAACGAGCCTCTAACCSCTCACAACATTCCCGAGCTTATATAAGATATGATTTCTTAGTCTGACCTCCTAATAACTCCCCTCTTCCTAACTATTCCTATGATACACATTTATATCAGGGAGTATGTCTATCAAAGTATTGCTGGTGGAACAGTTTTAAAGTACAAAATTCTTATACTATRATCCTTAAAGCTCACTACCATGGCAAATAGTTAAAAATGTGATTTGATATTATAAACACAGCTGAACCATAAGCAGACCTCTAATGATTTGCACAAACAGGGTTCCAAGACCATCAGCCTTAGGGTCCATGCATTATTAAAGATGTATAGAACATTGGATCAAGCACAGTAGAGTAGCAATAATTATTCTACACTGCCTTGAGACGTGATACTCGAGCTGTTTGACAGTGGTTGTTGCCGAGCTAAAAAAGGAACTTCCACCACCTACCAATGGTGTTTTCCCCAACAATTACAGTGTCTCCATTGGAAGCAGCTCGCTTCTTGATGTAGCCAAGACCGAAATGCTCCAACCCTTTTCTTCCTGGTGTATAGCTTGTCAGCTTTCCCACCTACAGAAAATTTCTTGTTATGGATCGAAGTGTATATATATTCAACCTAAAACATGGTCATGCAGATGTGAAGGGGACAAAAATCTATAGTGACAGTTTCATTGATTAATGAAAATGACAAACAATAAAAACTCTCGTGGAAGTGTGGAAAAATAAAATAATACAACTTGTTAAAAAAAAAGGCTTCCCATGAGGAACAAATGACGCTAAAAGAGTAATCCTTGAAGAGATGAGAAATCGAATACCATTGAGATGCTTTCAACTTAGCTAGCTCAAACCAATCAAGCCAAACCCTTCCCTTATATTAAAAAATTCTTTGGTTTTTTTCATATACTACATTTTCAATTGAAGCACTGGTGAAACGGGAGAAATTTTGGTTACAGTTCTTCAAAGTTTCATATTCAGGGAGAGATGCTTAGTATTCTATGTAAGCTCTCGAGAAGGTTCAAATCCTATAGGCCCGTTTTGGTAACGTTTTTATTTCTTGTTTCTCTTTGTTCATTTTCAACTTTGAGAAATATAAGCGTTTGGTAATTGTTCTTATTTCTCATTTTTAAGAAATGTTTTTTAATTGGGTAGAAATTTTGGAAATAACAAAGTAAACTTTCCTTTTGTACTTCTCATATCCAGTTTTTTCTAAAACATAAATAAAAGTATTATTTTATCATTTTTTAATTATAAAATGCATAATAAATATAGCAAAAAAATTGAATATTTAATTTAAAAAATAGTTTCCATATAAAAATTTTACTTTTTTTCTTCAATTTCAAATTTGAAAGATGAGAAACAAGGAATGTTACCAAATATGTTTTATTTCTTTTTTCAATAAAAAAGAAAAAAAAAAGAAATAAGAAACTGTTTTGATAACTGTTTCGTTTTTTATTTATTAAAAATAAGGAAACGAGAAATAAGAAACATTAAATGCAAAACACGAAACAAAAATATTACCAAACGGACTATATATAATCAGTTTCTTGAGAAAGGAAAGAGAGGCTCATGATTAGAGGCATTTTTGACAAAACGTTTAAATTTTCCACATAAATTAAAAAGTGAAATAAATCAGCTTACCCTTTTTCCGTCAATGGTTATTGAGCTGCCTGGTTCCACTGAATCTGATAGCTGAAGTCCCCATAATCTCTGTTTTACTCCATCATATGTTATTAGTCTAGATATTGTCTCTTGTCCCTTGTAACAACCTATACAGATTAAAAATCAAGTACCCAATCCATCGTGGATCTACAATGAAAACTTATGGCAAGAATGAGTACCCTTGTTGAGAGAAATTGAATTCCAAAGACCAGCTTCGAGTACATTGAACTCATCGGTAAGCTCTTTCTGAGGAGTTGGCATTCCTGCAAAACTAACATAGGTCATCGAGCCATCCAAGAATCCACAGAATAACAGCATTAAAAAATACGTTCTTATTGAAATCATTTTAGCTTCATCAACCATGAGCAGTTCAAGACTATAGTATGAATTTCTAAATATTCAATGGAATTGTTGACAATTTAGACTTTTTTACACATTATTCATAACTTCAATGTTATGATAATATGTAAAACTGCTTTTCTTAGTGATACACGCGAAAAAAGAGAGAAAATTCTATGCAATAAGACTAATTATTAGAAGTTCAATGATATTTATCTATCATTTTAAAACTGTCAAACAAAATATAATATAATCCAGAATATTGTTACAACAATACTTACCCACAGTTTGAGTTCCTACTAACACAGTCTATCTCTATTGCAATTAATAGATAAGCGGATCTTACTAAACTTTTGAGCTACTAAAATAAACTACATTAGAAACTGGAAAATCATTAGAAGCTCTTACTCACTAGGTAGTGTACGCAAGTATTGTTCAATGTAAAATATATGAAAGATAATTAACAAAAATCATACTAGCACTCAAGTTCAACTAGATTAACAAGTCAGGATGCTTCTTTAGTTGCAACTAAAACTATTTTGGAAAATGTGGAAGCATTATTTCTATAAATAATAATAATTGCAAAACGTAAATCNTTTCTTAGTGATACACGCGAAAAAAGAGAGAAAATTCTATGCAATAAGACTAATTATTAGAAGTTCAATGATATTTATCTATCATTTTAAAACTGTCAAACAAAATATAATATAATCCAGAATATTGTTACAACAATACTTACCCACAGTTTGAGTTCCTACTAACACAGTCTATCTCTATTGCAATTAATAGATAAGCGGATCTTACTAAACTTTTGAGCTACTAAAATAAACTACATTAGAAACTGGAAAATCATTAGAAGCTCTTACTCACTAGGTAGTGTACGCAAGTATTGTTCAATGTAAAATATATGAAAGATAATTAACAAAAATCATACTAGCACTCAAGTTCAACTAGATTAACAAGTCAGGATGCTTCTTTAGTTGCAACTAAAACTATTTTGGAAAATGTGGAAGCATTATTTCTATAAATAATAATAATTGCAAAACGTAAATCRTAATAGCACTCAAGTTCAACCTAATAGTTAATGTGATCCTTCATGAAAAAAAGTTTGCAAGTCATGAGACGTAGATTCCACTCTTAACTGCATCCATCGTAAAGGATCAATATGATCACAAGGCATTAAAATTCCAAGTGCATTAAACAATAACGGACCAGCACACCAAAGAAGCAGAAAAAGGTTGAGAGATGTACACCTTGAAATATCCTCAGCTTTTCCCATGCCTCTGAGCCCATTGGAACAGCACCTAGAGAAACTAGAGTTTTCCATACTGGTCCAGCCACAGCAGGTGATACCAACAGTGAAAAACCTTCTTCAGAAATGACGTTTCCCACCCCCACGGTTATTGGCATACCATTAACCTGCATAATAAGAGTCCAAATCTCAATGATATTCCTAATAACATCTGTCTTCTGTATATTACTAAGGAATAAAATATTAGTCAACAAATCCTAAGAATTTTTGACTTATACTACTACCTTTCATGCTGGATCTCTGAACATCTTTTCACCTCCTCTTTTTTCTTAATAATATGCTGAACCTTTTCCATTGAAAAGTTCTATAACATTTGACTCAAGTAAATAAAATGTAAATGTGGTCACGTGTAAACTGGATTATATATTCTATTAATATCAATTATCAGGTATAGGTTTTTCAAGAAAGAGTAAAAAAAACAAAGGAAAAATAAAACAGATCACTTAGAACACTTACTTTGAGTAAATAACTACAAAGTGCGAACTCTTCAAAGAGGGGAAAAAAAAGAAAAAAGAACAAAGAAAATGATTATTTTCCATTTCCATAAATAGAAGCAATTCCAGAGATGGGTTTGAACTTTGAAGATATTCTAGGAATAATAAGGAGGGATATAATCTTGCACCTTCTGTTGTCTACGATTAATGTATTTTTAATAGAATTGGTATCTATCTGATACAGGATGCTCTAAGCAATATAATAGGTGAAGACATGAACAGTCCAGGAGGAAATTTCTTACTCTAAACTGGTTAAAGGTAAGTTTCAAGGCATACAAATAGACATCATAAAAAGAGACTCTTCAATACCATTGGGGTGAAATCTACAAATGCAAACACAATACACTCACGATCTATGTATAATCAAACAAACTATCCTAATTAAGAAACACTTGAGAGAAGAAATTGCAACTTTTTGATTTTGCTTTGAGAACCTCCTAACCTTTATGAAGTCCAGAACAAACCTTTTAATATTTAAAAAAATGATTAGTGCCAGGCATAGAAAGCTCAATTAGATAACAAAAGCTTACACTAAAGTGCTGATGTGTTCCATATGGTTCTCCCGCAATATCACCAAGGTTCAAAGCCTCCATGATCTGCTTGCATTTGAGGGTTAAAGCAATTAGTGCATGAAAACCAGAAATATGAAATAAAGATGATATTGCTTGTACTTGAGAACTGCATAGTGCTCTTTTACTTGGTTGCTTTTAGGTCCCACCAACACTAACAAGGATGTATGCTTGGTAATATCTTGAATCTCTACCTTGTCCGCCAAAAAGATGTACCTAGTCAAAAGTTCTTTTATTAAGTTATGAACAATGCATGGTATATCTGGAGAACACATGTACATACATAAATCATATATACACATCTAAATAATGGAAAGGCCAAGCAGCACACCCATCAGAATAAGCAGAAAAATTATGTTGTTTTCCTATCTTGAGTTTGATATATGGACCAAATCAATTTCTGAGTTCCAAGGAATAATCTGCAAAATCAAGATGAATAGCAGCCCTTTACCCATGTATGATCAGTATTCAGTCTATGTTTATCTAATCTGCAAAAGTAGGAGATGGAAAAGGTTTAATTTGTCAACAGGTGGAAAGATGGCTTTATGCAATGCAGTGTTAGCCAATCTTCCAGTTTATTGTTATTAATATTATTATTATTATTTTGATAAGAATCCAATCTTCCAGTTTATTATACATCTGTCTTTAATTGGCTAGAATTCTGTCGTAAAAGCCATGATGTTAAAAACATATCGCATTTAATTGGCTAGAATTCTGTGGTTAATCCATTGGAGGATGTTGGGTTTGGAATTGGAAACTAGAGGAAGAGTTATGAAGATCTTCTAATCAAATGGCTTTGGAGAGTTCCAAATGAAACCAATGAATTGTAACTATTTTTATAATTTTTCATTTTATCAATAAAAATTTATATTTCCTTGTGATGTAAAAAAATGAAGAAACATGGAAGCTGTAGAAGCCCTTGGTGAAACGTGTTAAAGTTAAAAAACATTTATGATAAGTTTTCCTTTGATCAAGGTAGGCAGTGGTGAGAAATTCTTTCTAGAAAGACTCTTGGATTTTTCCTTCAATTTTTTGTTCGATAAAAAACCCTTGGATTGGAAACCAGCCTTTTCCTCTTCGTTTTCCAAGCATTTTTCAATTGTCGAATCAAAAGGTTGGTAGCAATAAGTTCTTTATGCTCTTAGAGAGTTAATGTGTGATGGTTGTGATGGTTTCTTTTAATCTTTGATGTTTGTTGGGCAAGTTTGGGTAACATTTAACATTTTATCTTCTTATCAGTCAGAAGGTTCGGGAAAAGCAAAAGTTTTATGGTCCCATTGTGAAATCTGTTGTTTAGGGAATTGGTTTGAAAAAAATTAGAGGCTTTCAAAAATAAAAGTGTTCCTTGGATGGAAATCTTGGGTTTGATAAAGACTCTTTGGGCTTCTTGGAGTGGTCTCTCTGAAGCTTTTCCCAATCACTCACCTTTTGAGATTAATTTTCACTGGGAGGCCTTTTTGTAATTTTGGTTTGTATGTAATTTTTAGTTTCAGCTTCGCTGTCTTGTAGTTGGTAGATACTACTCTCAAGTTATCATTCTCACGCAAGGCTACTATCAAAATAACAGAACGGGTTCAAGAAAAAGATAGCACAAAACCCACGAGGGGACAATTAAAAAATTACAAGAGAACCTACTTGTTGAGCATTCGAATTATGCTTTCGCGAGTCACTGGCGAGACAATTAATGTGATGGCATTTTTCTGTTAACATGATGTATAACAAATGAATTTTAAAATAAAATTGAACAAGTTATGAGACAAGAAACCATGGAGCAATACACGATGACAGTATTACCATACCATGATCCATGCTTGAGCAATATCAATTGTCCGAGCCGTGGGTGTAACAAATGCAGTACTGCATCCCTGAAGTTAACAAAAAAGCCCATAGAAATATCAATCTTTTGTTAATTTAATTCCATTCAGAAAGAACTTAAATATAACCAAACATGATTAGAATATGATATGATGGTGTGCCTATTCGGAACTTACTTGTCCTTGACGTAGACTTTCAAAATTAGCTGTGCTTTGGTTATGAAGAAACTGATAACGATCTTCCCCACTAACTTCATGTACGTTAATGCATCATTTTCATAAGAAAAAGAAAATGGTTGCAAAAGCACTAAATACTATAGCATTCTAGATTTGTGGTAAAATCTCAAACACCGATTAATAAGGATAATGAGTTCAGTGCAGAAGATGACAAATAATGATGAGATAAAAACTAAATTAGCAAGTTAAGGTGCTTTCATGTCTGGTGGACAAATCCTCGATGAAGTCTTGATTGTAAAGGAAATCCAGAGAGGATTTTAAGGCTAGGAAAGAGGAAGATGTCACCTTAAAGGCGTGTGATCATATAGATCGTGGGCTTTTGGACAAGATCTATTGGAGGACAAGTTTCAAGTATGAATGGACAACTTTGGTTGAAAAAAGATTTCAGCAAATTTGTGTTGGACTTTGTGGAGCCTAATCACCAAGGCGACTCAGTTTGAGACTTGTTTAAAAATTGATGTGAAGCCCAAATTGAAACCCAAGAGAAAGGAAGTTAGGTATATTGCTACAACAATGTCACAGCAATGCTGCAGCTTTAATAGTAGGCTGCCAGATCGCACAGTACCTAGGCGACCAAACCCAACGCCATGCACTACCCTCCCTAGAGCATTGTGGCACCCACCTTAGGTGAGCACTTGAGTTCAGAGGGTCATTGAGTGTGTTACCAGCACCATGGTGCCACCGCCGACACGATTTCTTTTGTAAACTACCAGCCAGAGTCCTCTCTAGTAGTTCCCTATATATATGGCCTTATGTATGAGGTCACAAAAGAAGAATGAAGAAGGGAAAAGGAGAGAGAAATGAGGAAACCATGT